CAGTCTGTCTATAATGTAGCAGCAAGTGGCACTGTATGACTTGCCTTGGGCCCAGGAGATTTAAATTGACAATAGACAGGCGAACAGTTCATGATTCATTTGATCCATTAGGCACAAGGGAATTCTGGGATTGATTTCTGGTCTGCGCCTAAACTTTTTTCCTGGAGAGGTAACTCAACTACAGTACAGTAAAGCAGTGATCATTTTGTTTTTATGGTAAAAATTTTTTTGGACACTCTAGGCTCATTGGGTTATGCACTTTTACTTTAAAGGTGCCCAGGATAATATTAAACTTTTAAACATTTTAAAAACTTTTCCTGGGGCAAAGGTGATTTTTTTCCTCCCACAAACCAACTTTTGACCTCTCTTTCCTAGTATTGGCAGTAACTCCTGACAACCCTGGAAAGTTAAAAGTTCTTCCATGCTTAATTGTGGGTTTATCAAATTTTGACGTCTCTTTGATATCAATATTCACACTGATTTCCATGTTGCCGATTTAAAAACTGTGTTTATATGGCTGACAGGTGGGCAGGTTTGTGGTAAATTAGATTTTTTTTGTCGAAATTCATGGCATTTATACATTTTTTAGAATGTGATCAGAAGTTTACAGAATACCTTGACTGTTACCAGGGAGCACTGTCTAGGTACCTTGGAAGGAGACACTCATGATTTTATTTTGGAAACAAACATGTCTGTTTTATCCGTTTGCCTTCTGTGCACAGAAAGCCAGCGTTGCCTAGGGGGTCATGTGGTTAACGCCCTCAAAGAGAAAATAACATGCAACCATTTTCTTTTGCTCTGAAGCACATTTTGTACTCTAATGCCTTATGAACATTGCAATCAGGTCAGGGATTTCCAGGCTTAGGAGAAACTAGCCAAGACTTAAATTATCAGATTTGTTCCCAAATGACTCGTATTTCATGTTTCATTTAAGCTATAGAGAGGACATTGTTGGGTTATTTCTATATCAGTCTTTCCTGTTGTTTAGCTCTGTAACTTGAGACATGCATTTTCTATACTTGGCTTTCACGTGATTTCCAGTCAATTTGCATTTCTTGAAATTAGAAACACAAGATGGGAAAGATAGGATTAACGTGTTCTTGCCTTTGCCATGCCAATTCTATATATTACAGTGCAAATGGTTGTCATCAGGAGATATTTAATGTGTTCAAGTTGTTCGCTTTGATGGAGTCAAATGTGCAGCACCAACTAGCTCCCAATGAGTATCATTCAAAATCATACCTGTCCACATTGACAAGTGCCAAAGAGGGAGATTCCTCTCACGTGCTACACACACACACACACACACACACACACACACACACACACACACGCCAGTGTTCAGCGTTCCTTAGTCATAGTAACAGCCGTTTTAATCAATAATTAAAAGAAATAAACCTTATCATGAATCTTTGCTCTGCAATATTTCAGTGTTCGTCTTGTTGCTTTTATTGGGGATTTACACCCAAACCCAATAGAGATATGCAAATGAGGTCACAGGCATGCATTAAAAAATATTTAATGAAAACGTAAAAGTGGAATGGAATATTTAGTGCAAGTTGGACATCATACTTGATATGCAAATTCAGGGCAGGCACTTTGCATTCATCAAAAAATAGCAAACTTTGACTCAAGATTAATTCTCTCGGCACTTTATGTTCCATTTGCAACATTTTAATTAGGCCCCTTTTGTAGTGTTGACGCTTTGCCTGATGATATTTCAAAGCTGCATATTTTGAAATGTCGCCCTTTTCTATACCCAACAAACTTACCATTCTTTTAAACACAACTGTAGGCCTTGTACTCAAGTGACACTTGAGCCTCTTCTTTAAACTAATACACAATATATTTTACTTTTTGACTTCTTAGAACATCTGTCTCAACTTTTACCCATGCACAGCCCCCCCCTCGCCTCACAAAGCCATTTAGATTTAAGAACCCATAATGCAACTTGAATCTATTGTTTTGATGTTCACGCTGTCTTATATATATATATATACATTCATATTTTTTTAAATAAAACTAAACTGAACGCATTCACATTTTCCTGATTTTCATTCTTGTATATCACCAGACATACTTATTTTTGGTACGTCACATGCAGGGACGGATTCAGAGATATTTTCTGACAGTCTTCCAAATTGTCTTTGTTTATCCATCCTCCATTTTTGACCATCTTCCAACAGAAAAAATCAGATACCCGTCAATGTAAACTTGAAAATCTGACCGTCTTCCGGAAGACCTAGAAGACGGCCTAAATCCGCCCCTGACATGACCCTGTGTATGCTGTCAGACCTCCCTGATGCACTGCAGATGAACCCTAATAGAAGTACGCCATTATTTAGCCCACATTCAGTCATTACTTTGATTGACCATGCTCTTAGCTATTAGGGTCTTTTAGATGTTTTGGTTTTCAGACTTGTGTGCATTCTTAATATGTTCAATGGAGTATTTTAATCTTATTGTAGCCTTTAATCATGTAGTCCAAAAATTCATTGACGTCTTATTGTTCTTTTTTTATTAGGTTTGAAAGGTTTGACTGATTGGAAGATGTTTCTAAGTTTGGAATATTGTTGAAAGCTCATTTAGTACTGTATTTATGTAAATTGATTTCATCAACAATGAAAAATGATATGCACATTATTTTTAAACCTAAAAGCACACATTTTTATGGCACAGAAATCTTAGAAAAGTATGAATGATTATATGAACAGGTCACTTGGAAGTAGTGTTATAGACAAAAAGAGCTTAAGATGAAAGGTTGACTAACAGCGACAATGGAAAATGGTATACACTTGGAGAACCTGGGGTAGCACTTACACTCATCAATTTAGCCAAATGATAAAACTTAATTGGCTTAACAAAAAGAGCTTGATTTGATTAATTTGATTAATTTCAGTCAAATTAAAACCATTTGGATAGAAAATTGACCAAAAATTGGTGATTTGGCTAAGCGAAAAAAAAAAAAAATTGCTAGGGCTACCCCAGAGAACCTACCATTTTTGTCAATATTTTGGTAAATTTAACTAATTTGGTGATTTTGAAAATGTTGACAGTTTCTGACTAATAAAAGGTCTTGTGTTTGTAATTAATTAATTGAGATTCTGAGTGAAATAAAGATGCTGTATGGAAAAGACTATTGTCTCATGTTCCTGCATTCAGACTTTCTTCTGATACTGAAATGATATTTCTCTTCAGCTCCATTGAACTGGAATATACCTGTTCCATTAGTAAGATGTATGATATGATAGCATAACTCGTCTTTAGTAGGTTTTAAAGGATATTATTTCAACTGATTGCAAGACACCTTTGTAACGAGAGGTTATATATACTGGCATGGGTGAAAGTTTTCTGACTGAGGATTATGCCTGATTTCATGGTTTTCATCCTTTATTTTGATTGTTTCAATATGGTCTGAATGTGATGAGCAGTCTACATTTTTGGAATTTTCAGTTTTTACAATTTTTATCCATGGACTGCTGAGGTGGTTTTATTTCTCACCAAAGACTTCAAACTGTATTGGTTCAAACTAGAAAAAAAAAAAAAGCCACATTTACACTTGGGTCTTTGCTCATATGTGTAAGTAAGGTTTAGGATTGTCTATTTGTTAGGGTGGAAGAGAGTTGATTGAGACACAGGTGTACTAAAAAAATTACTTTTTTTTCCATCTTATTCAGTGATGTTCATCATGTACAGCATTGGCTGTGTAATTTCCCCAGCTTGTCGAATCCTGTGGTAATGCGCCTGATGACAGCTATTTGGGTTCCACCATTTGTGAATCAATATCAATTTTCTGTGTAAACAAATGGACTGTGTGGCTTAATCTGTGTGGTTTCCAGCAATTTATTCTCAATCTGAAACAACATTGGACTTATGCTTAATTAATTTTTTCCTTTAATCAGAGTTTTCAAGGCAGGAGACTGGGTTAATATAGGCGGGGGTATGGTATTGGTGGAACACTGAAATTGCCATATGACTATGGAAGGTGATAAAGAGTGTTTAATCTGCTGTGTCGTCCATGATTTTGATCAACTAGTCATCTATGGTGAATGTGCAGCACACATCATGTCACCTCACATCATGGCTCTCCTTGGCCACTGACATTTTTCATTAAGCCAAATAACATCAAATGAATTCGAAGTTCAACTTCATTATTTTTAACATGATTTAGAGAAAAGAACTTAAATTGTAGCATCTATCAAAATTTTGATTTGTAATTATGAGCCTAAACTTTGTTTAAGATGGTGAATTTAAACCAAATGCTTAAAGTAATGAGTTCTTCCTAACTGGTACAAGCCTCTTTAGCTCAGTCCCGGTAGGGAGACTGGGGTTAGTCCCAGTGAGAAGACTGGGATGGTCATGGTGGGGAGACTGGGATGGTCATGGTGAGAAGACTGGGATGGTCATGTTGGGGAAACTGGGATAGTCATGGTGGGGAGACTGGGATGGTCATGGTGAGAAGACTGGGATGGTCATGGTGGGGAGACCAGGATGGTCCCAGTGAGTAGACTGGGATGGTCATGGTGGGGAGACTGGGGTAGTCATAATGGGATGACTGGGATGGTCCACGTGGGAAGATTAGGATGGTCATGGTGGGAAGACTGGGATGGTCCCAGTGGGATGGTCCCAGTAGGAAGACTGGGTTAGTCCCAGTGAGAAGACTGGGATGGTCATGGTGGGATGACTGAGATAGTCCCAGTGGGAAGACTGGGATGGTTCCATTGGGAAGGCTGGGTTGGTCATGGTAAAAAGACTGGGATGGTCATGGTAAGAAGACTAGGATAGTCATAGTGGGATGACGGGGATGGTCCTGGTGGGAAGATTGGGATGTTTGTATTTTTATATGAATACACTTCCTTCAGAAATATCAAGAATAAAAAACCTATAAAATTTATAAATTTTATAGATGTAACTAGGATGTCACCAAAGAGAAGTAGAAGTGTCTACACGTGGCATTTCATGGAAAAATAGTTGAACTTTTCTTTATTTGATATTTGTAGATGGAGAACCTGATCCGCTGTATGCAGTTTTCAGAGAACGCAATTCCAGTACGAAGTCAAAAGCTTTTTCTTACCACAGTCCCGGATGCATTTGCAGGTAAAGTCAGTTCTGTATATAGCATATATTTATAGGAAGATCTTAATTGGCATTTAAAAAATTAAGATGGTTACACCTAACACACTGTCACAATCCCCTCCCCTTCATACTAAATGTTGTCTCACCTGAAGCACTGACACAATCACTCACAATGCATTATCTCACCTGATGCATTTCAAACTAATTGTGTTATTATAGCTTATAGCTCATCTAGCTAACTATCAAGTTATATGCAGTATTCCTGTCAATTTACAAAGACAAAGAAATGTTTTACTCAGAAATGTTTGTGCCATAGTGGTTTATCAGGTATCATGTCAGACAGCCTTCAGAGACATGCTCTAGAAATTAACCAGCATCACTTATTCAAACAAACTTCTATTGCGGTCCTTTTGTCTTTAGCTGGCAACTGGGAATGATCCCCTGATAGCCAATAGATAACAACTGTCTCTTTAAAGCACTAAGCCGTAATTAGCTTTGTGCAGACCTGGTTTTCCCTCTCACGGCCACTTAGCCGAGAATCAGTGGTGGACTGTGCACTTAGATTGCCGTCTCGTACTGGAAAGCTGCTGATTGATCTGTCTCTGCCGCATGGCCGAGTATTTAACAAGTTATTATATACACATTTCCAGCCACGGTGTCAATAAATTGCATCTATACTAGCAAAGGAAAAGAGGAATTTCCTGGAAGTTAAAAGAGAATATCAAATATTGTTACTTTGCTGCAAGCTGTCATGAGTATAGAAGTAGTGAAGGATGGTGAGGCCTCTGTCTTTTGAATGGTGTTACATGGTAGGATTGCCTCAATTAACTGCTAATGTTGTCACTAGTCCCATTCTGCTTTACCCACTGGTACTTCCTTGCAGGATCTTTTCTATGAAAGCACACTAAAAAAGAAACCATAATTTCCGTATGCTATAGATTTTACTTATTTTCATTATTTCTCTTTGCAGTGTCACCTTCAAAAAGCAGAATAATCCCGTCCATATCTACTAAGTAAATCCACTTAAGTGAAAACTTGCCACTTTGAAGACTGCCATTTTTCTAGCTTTCATTAAGATATTATTGCTGTGCTTTCATGTCAAGGATTTATAGATAGTGGCTAAATGTTAAAGAGAAAGTGAAAGATGTGGGACTTTATGCTGCATACATGCTCCTAGCCACCACCCAACAGTGCCCTGAGGTATATAATATTATCCATTTTATCCTTTCTTTTTCCAGCAAACTCTAACAATGATGTGCATTTCTGTTGGTCATTGATGAAGAAATAATTTTTTGAAGTGTAATGATAAGAAAATCCCCAGATCCAGTGCTCTTTTGTACCTAGAGACTTGTTTGTTTTGAAAATGTGATCCCAAACAAATTGAGTGATTTCATTGATTCCCACGTCTGTTTTGAGGAGATAAAGACACAGAGCAAGAAAAATCTTGGCAGCCATTTTCTCTTCTCTTAAGGTCAAAGAATACATTGTAACTTTGCATCCAAACGAGTTATTGACTGCCAAATGATGGACGCAATATGGCTTGAAGAGATTGAAGACATGTAAAAGATTAAGTCATGTAGTTTCATGGATTTTATACAAAAAACCAAAAAGGAATGTGCAGTTTAGATTTGAAGATTGATAAATAAAAATCCCTATAGCTATTCTTGATTATACACAGATAGTTGAATATCAGTCATTATGGCTTAATACCAGTCAGTGATAGTTGAAAACAGTGAAAAACAAAGTCTTAATTGCCAGTTTCTTACATAATGTAGGCTACATTGTTATAAATGACATTATCTTCAGAATGCACATGATGTCCCAGTGTTAAGTGTGCACTGCCTATCTTACTTCTGCAATCAACTAACAGAATTGAAAACAGGAATTTAATTATCCGCGGAAGCCTGTGCCACTGAAATTTGGGGTTGAAGACTTACACTCTGCTAATCTCGTTCAGATTTTGATGGTGCATTGACGTCATTGCTCACTGTGTTTGCCAATTATTGACTGTCCCATCGCTATTTCTGTCACAAAGTGGGCAGTTTGGATAAATTTGGAAGTGGATTGTATATTCGTCATGCCCAAGGGGCAATTTTTTAACCACCAGAGGGAATATCTCTAATGAAAATGGATATAGTTAAAGTAAAAATAGATGAATCCCATAAGAGCAGAGTTTGTTAGGTGTATATCGGAAAAAAGTGCTTTTATCATCATTTCTTTCTTTTGATGTCCTTTTTTTTTGCCTTTTATTTATCACTTTGATTTACATGAATCACAGTTAAGACACTGAATGGTTAAATCATGTATTGTGAATTATGCTCAGTTTTTTTCCCTTTGATCTTCTAATGACATACATTATGTATTCAGTATATCTGCTTATATGCTCTTGTGGGTAGCATACTGACTTGTGACCTTGTTAGTATACTTAACTTTGGGACCATGTTGTTAGCATTCTAACTGACCATGTGACCTTGCATTTAGCAATTGCATTGGTCTTGTGACTTTGCAGTAAGCATATAGTTACTGACATTGTGACCTTGTGGTTAGCAGTCTTACCTTGCAATCTAATTGTTAGCAGTCTTACCTTGTGACCTTGTAGTAAGCATTGTTACTGACATTGTGACGTTATGGTTAGCAGTCTTACCTTGTGACCTTATGGTTAGCAGTCTTACCTTGCAATCTTATTGTTAGCAGTCTTACCTTGTGACCTTATGGTTAGCAGTCTTACCTTGTGACCTTGTAGTAAGCATTGTTACAGACCTTAGCTTGTACTGCTGGCCATATTGTTATCTGTGGAGAGGCCTAGCTTGAGATTGAGTTTTAACTGAAATATTGGTAGTATAATAACAGTTAATGATTTTACTGGATCACTGATTTTGTGGTTTGGACTTATATCAAATAACATGTAGGTCTAAGTCTCACTAATTTCATGACTTAATCGTTTTTACTATAATAATAATAATAATAATAATAATAATAATAATAATAATAATAATAATAATAATAATAATAATAATAATACGCTTCTTATATAATGGTGCCTTACATGCTACCTCAAGGCTCCCTACAATAATAATATAACTAAAATCATTGAATGACTACAATATTCAAATCTAAAACACTCATTGGAAACCATTTAAAATTAACACTGCTAAAAACTCAATCTTATTAAAATATATAAAAAATCTAGGAGCAATAGACAGATTTAAAAATGTGGGTCTTTAGAAGGGATTTAAAGCTGTCAAATCTTTTTGTTCAAGATTAGTACTGAGTCAGTGGCTTTGTGGTTATAGTTTGAGCTGTATTAGTGATCTCAGGAGCTGAATTAATGGCCTCATAAAAGATAATTAATAATTAACCTCCTAAGAGTTCATGTTGTGTTAGTGACTTCATTGTTGTTTTTTCAATGCTATTGACTTCATAAGAGTTCTTATCATATTTGTGACCTTGTAAGGGTTCTTTATGTATCTATGCAGTGTTAGTGACCTTATAATGTCTCTTGTTGTGTTAGTGTCCCACAATCTCCTCATAATTATTATAAGACATGGTATTTAGACATAGTTTTCTGAATCCCTACTAGAAGTCATAGTAGTGTACATACTTTTCTGGGCAGGTCTTCACAGGGAATAAGGATGGGCGGGACAAGATAGGGATTAGATTGCTCAATATTGTGATCTCATCATAATATCATGATCTACTGAGTTGGTATGTTGTAAGTCATACTGCTACAAATGGACAGGAAATACTGCCAGGTAGTTTGATGACCATGGTTCTATTTAGACTGGGTTCCCATACCTAGATCAATCTAACAGGTCTGGAGATTTTCTTGCTAAATAGTATTCAGATTAAGCGGCTGAGATGTGTGGCATGCCTCTGATACTTCTAAACACTAATTAATTACCTTGTAGCAGGTTCAGTAGGTGTGACAGACATCTAACCCGCTTAGGTTAATTGCAATTTAGCAAGAATCCTAGGAGATAGACCGATCCACAGCAATTACGATAATTTTTTGGGAATGGTCCCTAAAACTGACAGGTGTATACTGAGACTCATGTGCCTGGTGCTTACTTTTTTATAACAATTGCAAGTTAACAAATAAAATAATAATAATAGAATTAAAAAGCTATGATTTGTAAAGTTCTTTGTTTAATCTTCTCTATACTTTGTTTCCAGGTCAAGATCTTATTGACTGGTTGTATACCAAACTTCAGACTGAGGAGCGCCTCCACGCCAGCCATCTTGCCAATCTGCTCTGCCAGTATGGCTACCTCTTCCCCGTGTCTGATCAGAAAAACTTGGTGGTCAAGGATGATAACACTTTGTTCAGATTTCAGGTAAGACTTCACCCACAAACCAACACATGGCACCAAAATTTCAGACTTTTTGACTTAACAAAGCAGAGGCATGTTATCAAAATGACACTGGGTTTGCAATGTTGACAGTTCAGAGAAACCAAAAATATGTTTGTTTTGTTTAAATGGATCATACTCAACTAAAAATTTTAGCCTTACAGTTAAGACCATTGTCTGTTTATAGCCCTTGTGCAACTCTGATGTGGGTTAATGCTTTTTTCTCTCTGTTTGCCTCTGAATAATCATTTTAAACAGATTCATACGATTGAAAAATATGTACTTGTAATAATGCCCAACAAAATTATTTTGCCATAGTAAAATGTCAACTTAGGGATCATAAGACAACCTTGGAACTAATATTTGCCTGATGAATTTTCTACACATACATATATATCTTTTGTACATGGTCAGGTAAAAATAGATAAGTGAAGGTATTTTTAGCATATATCTGAGAGCCTAATGGAGGCTGGGATATTTACTATCACTTTCTAGCAGTCACGTTAATAAACAGGATAAAAGTGTCATGTTTAACAACAGGATGAGCTTGTTGTTGTTTACTCTTGTCTTTGCATTATCTTCAATAAATGGCTTTATTGCACCATTTTAAGACGGTTTTTCTTCCATGTGGTTGAATTAATTGTGTTGAAATTTGTGTCCTTAAAGTAACCAGTGGTATATACTATATGTTAAATCCAGCAGCATCCTCTACAGCTTGTCTCTCTCTTCTTGTTGGATGCTATTGATTTTCTCTGTCATTTTATATACAGATGCTATAATATGTATATTTATTTTAAGACTTTATGTTTGTGTTGCGTGCATACATACAAAACATGTCGATTTGGGTGTTAACTTAATAATTCAGAAATGTGTTTTTCGTGACATTAGAGCCAAAATTTTCACTGTAGTTCTTTTTCTACTTACTAGTTACCAAAAAATATGCCATATTAAAAAAATAAATAATTTTTTACTTGAGTTTAGGGTTTTTCATTGGAATTTTTGTAAGGCCAGTCTTGTGACCAGTGTTGATGTTTACTTTCATCATTTTCTGTTTTCAGACGCCATATTTTTGGCCTAGTAATAATTGGAAGCCAGATCACGTGGATTACGGTGAGTGAGTTTTAGAGCTAGATATCTCATCCAACTCTCCAGACAGTATCACTTGTTCCTACATCATTAAACTATGTCCACAGAGACAAGATAAGAAATATATGTATTGATTAGGAATAGTGCCCACTTCATCAAAACTTAGTTTTCATGTGTGTCAATTCCTTTTTATGGAAGAAAGTTTCTCTGCCGTCATTGTCTTATGTTATTATCCTGTGATGTGGCGATACGTCAGTAGTTTGATGTGTAAAATGTGAAACCTCTTTACTCATTAACCAGACCATTCAGGGACTAATCATATCAATGGCAACGAGTCCAGGCAGTTAGCTGCCATTTTCTGTATCTAGTTCTCTGTGGTCTACCTGATCTCTTCTTTTCACTCCTGGTGGCACATCAGGCAGGAAAAAGTTCTCTCTACCATATAATCTGATCCTCCACTGCCCCCCCNCCAAGAGTTCATGTTGTGTTAGTGACTTCATTGTTGTTTTTTCTATGCTATTGACTTCATAAGAGTTCTTGTCATATTTGTGACCTTGTAAGGGTTCTTAATGTATCTATGTTGTGTTAGTGACCTTATAATGTCTCTTGTTGTGTTATTGTCCCACAATCTCCTCATAATTATCATAAGACATGGCATTTAGACATAGTTGTCTGAATCCCTACTAGAAGTCATGGTAGTGTACATACTTTTCTGGGCAGGTCTTCACAGGGAATAAGGATGGGCGGGACAAGATAGGGATTAGATTGCTCTATATTGTGATCTCATCATAATATCATGATCTACTGAGTTGGTATGTTGTTAGTCATACTGCTACAAATGGACAGGAAATACGTCCAGGTAGTTTGATGACCATGGTTCTATTTAGACTGGGTTCCCATACCTAGATCAATCTAACAGGTCTGGAGATTTTCTTGCTAAATAGTATTCAGATTAAGCGGCTGAGATGTGTGGCATGCCTCTGATGCTTCTAAACACTAATTAATTACCTTGTAGCAGGTTCAGTAGGTGTGACAGACATCTAACCCGCTTAGGTTAATTGCAATTTAGCAAGAATCCTAGGAGATAGACCGATCCACAGCAATTACGATATTTTTTTGGGAATAGTCCCTTAAACTGACTGGTGTATACTGAGACTCATGTGCCTGGTGCTTACTTTTTCAGAACAATTGCAAGTTAACAAATAAAATAATAATAGAATTAAAAAGCTATGATTTGTAAAGTTCTGTGTTTAATCTATCCTATGCTTTGTTTCCAGGTCAAGATCTTATTGACTGGTTGTATACCAAACTTCAGACTGAGGAGCGCCTCCACGCCAGCCATCTTGCCAATCTCCTCTGCCAGTATGGCTACCTCTTCCCCGTGTCTGATCAGAAAAACTTGGTGGTCAAGGATGATAACACTTTGTTCAGATTTCAGGTAAGACTTCACCCACAAACTAACACATGGCACCAACATTTCAGACTTTTTGACTTAACAAAGCAGAGGCATGTTATCAAAATGACACTGGGCTTGCAATTTTTACAGTTCAGAGAAACAAAAAAATGTTTGTTTTTATGTTTAAATGGATCATAAACAACTGAAATTTTTACCCTTATAGTTAAGACCATCGTCTGTTTATAGCCCTTGTGCAACTCTGACGTGGGTTAATGCTTTCTTTTTTTTCTCTGTTTGCCTCTAATCATTTTAAACAGATTCATACAATTGAAAAATATGTACTTGTAATAATGCCCAACAAAATTATTTTTGCCAATTATTTTTGGGATCATAAGACAACCTTGGAACTAATATTTGCCTGATGAATTTTCTACACATACATATATATCTTTTGTACATGGTCAGGTAAAAATAGATAAGTGAAGGTATTTTTAGCATATATCTGAGAGCCTAATGGAGGCCGGGATATTTACTATCACTTTCTAGCAGTCACGTTAATAAACATGATAAAAGTGTCATGTATAACAACAGGATGAGCTTGTTGTTGTTTATTCTTATTTTTGCATTATCTTCAATAAATGGCTTTATTGCGCCATTTTAAGATGGTTTTACTTCCATGTGGTTGAATTAATTGTGTTGAAATTTGTGTCCTTAAAGTAACCAGTGGTATATACTATATGTTAAACCCAGCAGCATCCTCTACAGCTTGTCTCTCTTCTTGTTGGATGCTATTGATTTTCTCTGTCATTTTATATACAGATGCTATAATATGTATATTTATTTTAAGACTTTATGTTTGTGTTGCGTGCATACATACAAAACATGTCGATTTGGGTGTTAACTTAATAATTCAGAAATGTGTTTTTCGTGACGTTAGAGCCAAAATTTTCATTGTAGTTCTTTTTCTACTTACTAGTTACCAAAAAATATGCCATATTTAAAAAAATAAATAAATTTTTACTTGAGTTTTGGGTTTTTCATGGGAATTTTTGTAAGACCAGTCTTGTGACCAGTGTTGATGTTTACTTTCATCATTTTCTGTTTTCAGACGCCATATTTTTGGCCTAGTAATAATTGGAAGCCAGATCACGTGGATTATGGTGAGTGAGTTTTAGAGCTAGATATCTCATCCAACTCTCCAGACAGTATCACTTGTTCCTACATCATTAAACTATGTCCACAGAGACAAGATAAGAAATATATGTATTGATTAGAAATAGTGCCCACTACATCAAAACTTGGTTTTTATATGTGTCAATTCCTTTTTACGGAGGAAAGTTTCTCTGTTGTCAGAAGTCTATCATTGCCTTATGTTATTATCCTGTGATGTGGCGATACGTCAGTAGTTTGATTGTGTAAAATGTGAAACCTCTTTACTCATTAACCAGACCATTGAGGGACTAATCATATCAATGGCAACGAGTCCAGGCAGTTAGCTGCCATTTTCTGTATCTAGTTCTCTGTGGTCTACCTGATCTCTTCTTTTCACTCCTGGTGGCACATCAGGCAAGAAAAAGTTCTCTCTACCATATAATCTGATCCTCCACTGCCCCTCCCCCCTCCCCATTTCAGGCACCCCATCTCACCCCTCTCCAGCCTGTCTCACCCTCCTCACCCCTCTCTCCTTCTACTACCCTCCCCTACCCCCCCCCCCAACTAAGCCACCCCCATTTCACCCCTCTCCACCCCATAAAGCCCTTCTCTCTCTACCCCCTTCCCCCCTCCTCCAGCTCACCAGGTTTGGTTCACACAGCTAGACACAGGTATGGCTGAAACAGGTGAGACACAGGCACTGTTGCCAGAACTATGGTCAAGACAAAGGTAATGCAGTTTGCCAAAACAAAATTAATCATTTCATAAACTTTCAGTGAAAAGTGTTCTGCCTGGATATCTGTGGGTTCCTCTCCACAGCTCCAGTGCTGATGTTAATATGGCGAAGAGAATCGGTCCCTGGTGTAGACCTCTTGTCTGGGCCGAGTTGAGAAGAATATTGCGCCCCATTGATTCTTTCCTCAGCGCACCCACAGCTAGCCATGCTGACTTCATTAAATCCAAGGAAAGTGACTCAAGAATTTCTCTGATTACATGAAGCTTCATCCCTCTCCTATCCCTCAGGTCGACCATTCACAATTAATATCCATCCTGGCAATTGGGTTTTCTTGTACACACTCTCTCCTGGGAGCACCGGGCTCGGTTGCAATACATTTTTGTTCATTAGATTACAGAGTATTTACAGATAAACTGAATGGTGGTTTATCGGCTAATTACTTTTGGTGTTGCATTTTACCTTGTTTGTACATTTAATGGAAAAGAAAATGGTTAGAATTATTAATTTCAGCAGTATAGAAAGATGCTTGCAATATTTCTTTTTGTTATTATTTTTGCTGTGGTTGATAGAGATGCAGATTTAGGAATATTGGTATAAAATGCATATTATATCCATTTACAAAGATTGTGGAAATGGAATACTAATTAGTGACAAAAGTGAAAGTGTAGTAGTCCCAGTTCTGGCTCACACATTGCGGTAGTTGTGCTGCCTGGCACATTGCGTATTGTGTTGTGCAAACTAAATGGATGTGCTCTCACCTAACACATTCCTAGAGATGACACATCTTAAGCTTGGGTAATTTTTACTGCTTATTACTTTTATGTATCAAGTGTATTCCCATTTTTCATCAGAATATTCTAGATCACTGTGCTTTATTACATCTTCTAGCATGCCACATACAGTTGAACATTTCTTGGAGTTATTTTGTAAACCCGTCTGCATATAGAAAATATGTTTCTATAATTCGCTACTTAGTAATCGCTTTACCATTGCAGTGACCTTCCCTCTACCAGGGTGACACATTGATTTTTCACAGATATTCACTGATATGTCTCTAGATAAATAGACAGTCATTTGGCTCTCAGTCAAAAATGTCCCCAATAATAACTGCGGCCCTGGTAGAGGGTAACAGTGACCTTGTCTTCAAATGTGTCTGGTTGGAAGTGATACAGTTGGTTTTACTCTGTCTGCCTCCAGATCTTATTAGGCTTAATATGTATTTTGGACTGTTTGAGCTTGTATCTACTATTGGAACAATGTTTGCATCAAATATCACCATTTCCTTACCATTACAGCGTTAGTTGTGGAATGGTGATAAAAACCTCATAAAGTTCATTAAATATTTTTTTGTCACAATTCCAGGCAGTGTTTTAGTTGTCTTCTAACCTTACGTAGGCCAGACAAAAGTGATAAGTTTGTTAATGAGCATTGATATATTATAAAAGGGTCAGTACAAGAATTTGTTAATAGATGAGATATCTTACTAGAAGAGCATATGAATTTTAGTTTTTTTCCTTTGGGGGGAGGTGGAGGAAATATAAAAGTGTGGACAATTTTTGGGCATAGAGGATTTTCCTGGGGTTAGTTGCAATTTCCTTCCACTTACCAAACCAATCCCCAATGTATTTTCTCCATTAGAGAAAAACTTATCCTCAAAATTAGGCTCCATTGTGCTCGTTAACCAACCACCTAGTTTTCTCAGGCCTTGTCTTACCTTTACATGTACCTGATTGATTGCAGGTGTGTAATTAATTAAATAGTATTTCTGGTGAGTTTAAATATTTATAAACTTTTAATTAATCTTGGGTTTAAACACATTGAAGAGCACAGAGAACATTTCTGCTCATTGCCAAACTAATTTTGGCATTGCTGCTAGTAGTTGAATTTTGGCTCCCAACAGGAATCTTGACATTACTGTTGTGATCTGAGATGGATTACCTAATTTATATTGAAAATTAACAGTGGAGGTATTATAGATTAGTATGATGCTAATCTCAACCTCTCAGGAAATACATGTGATGACAAAAATGAATATGGAATTAAGATACATCATAGGGTTTCAAGAACACTTCTTTGGAGAAGGGTTTTCCTGTTTTCTTTAACATTTTTTATTTTTCTTTGGAGGCTAAATTCACCCCAAAAAGTTAGTTTTTTTAAAAAGATGCATATTAAATGAGTACCTTTTGTTAATTTATTGCTGTTAAATCAGACCAAATTGCACCAGTTTCAAGTAGAATAACTTAAAGAAATACCACAGACTTTACAGACTGGAAAAAAAAAAGATTTACCAGAAAAGTGCAGTTCTAACACCTTTTGCTGCTGCCTGAAAGATAAATTCCTAATAATTTATAATTCTTACATTGCATTTACTGTATCTTAAATGATGAGATAGGGCATCAATATTGCCAGTCTGTTGTAGACATAGGGTAATCCTAGACTTCTTATGTCTCTATATAGTTATGCCAGTAGAAGTAGGCACATTTCCCTGGTAAATCCCATTTCCGTATGCTTAATCAAGATAGCAAAATTAGTCAGGCAATGTTAAAAAGCCTTGTATTGTTCTTCACAAATTGAAAATGAAGGTATATGTCAATTTGTGAAGAACATTTTATTTGAACAACAATTAGAAAACTATTCTGTTTGATGGGTTATCAACTTAATTATAAAATGACGAGAGTTCTCAATTGTTTTTTATTATTTTTTTCCAGCCATATATCTTGCAAAGAGAACGCTACGGAATAAGCAGAGGCATGGTTTGGAGGACTTTGAACAAGTAAGTGTTAATTAAGACAACTTATTTTTTTAGGAAAAAATAAGTGAATCTTTCCAGGAATGCATTGTAGAAAGCTGACATATTTCAGTCCCATTTGATGCTAATTTCCACTTTATCTAAACACTGTACTGTCATTTACATGCAAGCTAGGTCGAATCTTATGCCTTCCTCATGCAATATATTTATTTCTTTGCTTTAAAAAAACATGCAAATTAATCTGTCTAGCTACCCCTAATGATTTAAGTTTATTCCATAAGTAAAACAAGTAAAGTTTAAAGTCCTTAAATAAATCCATGTCAAATTGGCCAAAATTAAATGAGGTAAAAGCTCAGTCTTTAATTACACTTTTAGATATTGATGAAGAGTCCGGAGGATTATGTTCTTTGGTAGTTAAAGACAAAAAAAAAAAAAAAAAGTTGAGGCAAATATACAAATCATTTAGCCAATTGCTATAGCTATGATTTGTTTTCTCAAGAGCAATGCAGGTGTCAAATAAAATCATCTGACATAACAGCCATTATTAATAAGATATTGTTTTTAATGTATATGAATTTTTATCTCATAATATTGTGCTCTTCCTCATTGTCTCCTTGTGAAGTGTTACAATTCAAAAAATGAACAATAAATGAATAATGGTATCTGTTGAGTTCTCTTTGTGAATGAAAGTAGGTAGAAATTTTTATTTGGATGATGTTTATTTTCTTCAAAATATCTGCTCATCTTCTAGTGCCCATAAGTGTTCAGGTCAATGAAATTCATTCAGAACTTCAACCTGATCCAAGACGACCGTTTTCCTGGCATGAACATTTTACCAATTAAGTGCCTCTTAATTCTAGAATTTCAGTTGTTTGATTGTTTTGGTCTCCGCATTACATGAATATTTCATTGACTCGTCTCTAGATGCCAAGGCTGAACGTCACTTCTTCCTACAGATTTTTCTATAATCAATATACCCACAAGAGAAGACTGAATACGCCAGGACTGTTCTCAAAACCACAACTGTTTTCACATGAAATGCAGGAAATGCAAAGGTTTTGTTCCACGTGTATTGTATTTCTCAGATTTAAGACAAAAGAAAGGGGATCTAAATCAATACTTCTACCTGAGAAGGTTTTTTGAATGAAGATGTTTTATATACACAATTTTTCCTGTTTAAAAGTGAATCCTGTAACAAGAAAAATGTAAATTTTTAGTATCTCATATACAAAGTTAGTTTCAGTGTTATGTTTTTACTTAGATGAAATAATTTGAAATGAATTTTTCTCTTAAAATCTTGAAAATTAAAAAAAAATATAGGTACAATCTAGTTATTCATTTGGTCAAAATGAAAATTAGAAGAAGAAGAAGGACAGTGTGTAGGCATTAATTATTAATTTTAGCTATTTATTGTCACATTTTTAATCAAATATAACATTTTACCTGATTGAGTTGTCTGTTATCATCATTTATAATCTGCTGGAGTTTCCCAACTCTAAAACAAAACAAAACAAAACAAACAAAAACAAACAAAAAAAAAAAAAAAAAAAAAATATATATATATATATATATATATATATATATATATATATATATATATATATATATATATATATATATCTAATCTAAAAATCAAGCTTATCTAGTTTAATTTGTTTATTTTAGGAAATGATGAGTTTTATCAATCAAGGTATTTTTTAAATCAAAAGCTAATTTTTTGGAAAAAAATGATTTCTGTTTTTTGTTTAGGTTGCCTTCAACAAACTCCAGAAGATGTTAGCACACAAGTGGGATTTTATCTTCATGCAGGCTGAGGAACAGTTCAAGTAAGTATAGCACCAGGAAGAACTGACTTTAGACTGGGCTCTCATATCTAGGTTGATCTAACTGGATCATTCCATCTCCGAGAGGTTTCTCGTGAAATTGCTTTCAGCTTAAGCGGCTTTGATGTCTGACACGCCTACTGAAGCTGATAAATGATAATTATATCCTAGTAGCTTCAGTAGGCGTGACTGACATCTTATGTTGATTGCAATTTAGTGAGAATCCGCTTAGAGATAGATCGATCCACAGTTAGTACAATAGGGTCTGGGAATGGTCCCTTATATTATGACATTGACTCAGTCTTTTCAATGGGAAAAATCATCAGTCTTTCTTTATATTTTCATAGTTTTATATTTGGTGCTTTTAATGTATAGAATAGAATTATTGGGTAGTCTGTGTTTCAATTTTGTGGCTACCACTCAGTAGGAATGTTATTTTAAGGATTTATGACTTAGAAAAAACAGTATCTGTAAAAATCACAATTTCTCCCAATGGAAAGATCTAGCCATTACTGTAAATGTTATATAACTGAATTTAAAAACACAAAAGAAACCCCCCCCCCCCCCCCCCCCCGTGATGCCCTATAAGAAGACTTCACTGATAACATGCTGTTATAAGGTCAGTTCTGTCAGCGATGTTCCTTATCCCTAGTTATCAGTGTCATTTTCTCATTTGCCTCCATTGCTGATTATTTCTTGTTAATTTCCATAGATCACATATTCCTGAATAGACATAGACCAGATAACATAGGCGATCAATCCGTTTCAACTTTTTTCACTGCAGCTTGGTTTTTATGTCAAAAGTTTCTGTAGCCTCGAACTCCACTTAGCTAAATTGTAGTTTACATTAAAAGCAAACAGCCAGCTTTTATCAGGCTGCTGGCGGAGATTGGCTGATTGATCCAGAGGCAACTGAGAAATGTAAAAAGCGTTACCATATTGTTTGCTGAGATTAAAAATATCCCCCGTCCCTCTATTGATGTTGTCTGGATCAATGGAGGCTATCAGAACAACCCTGTGCCTGACCCTTCTGGATTGCTAACAGAGATCATAGCTGTAACAAGGTCCCTTTTCCAAATGTTTAACAAGTGGAGTTTTGAATCCAATAAATCAAAAGGAGGCAGAAATATCACAAGATGCTTTTAATTTTTAATTTTTTTCTGTCTCTAAATTCTTGGGGAAGGAGCTGCAACAAGGTCCCTTTTCCAAATGTTTAACAAGTGGAGTTTTGAATCCAATAAATCAAAAGGAGGCAGAAATATCACAAAATGCTTTTAATTTTTAATTTATTTCTGTCTCTAAATTCTTGGGGAAGGAGCTGCAACAAGGTCCCTTTTCCAAATGTTTAACAAGTGGAGGTTTGAATCCAATAAATCAGAAATATCATGAAATGCTATTCAATCAAAAAATTCTTCAAAAATCAAAAAAAAATTTTCTTTTTTTAATTATTGGGGAAGGAGACAAGAATTGACAAAATAAAGTGTGTATCACTTGATGTTTGCATTTAACCCTTTTTCAACCAAATATCAAAATTTCAGGGGCTGTATCATTGTACCACCAGTGTGGCAGTTTTAGTCCCAAACAGTATCGTCCACCACATCTGTTGCCACATCACAGTTACCTTTTCTTCTCCAAGTCCAAAAGAGCCTGTGTACCCATCTCTTATATGTAGGTTACATACAATTTCAACTTGATCTATGTAAAGTTTGGGCTTTAACGGTGCACTGTTCTAGGTGTAGCGCTTGTTGCAATACACCCTCGCCAAAAATTTGAAAAATTAAATGCTAAATATCTCTCAAAGCGAAGGGCCGAGTTTTCCATATGAATGCGGTTACTCCAGCTGGTGGTACCCAGAGGCAGTATCGCCTCTTTGATCCTCTAATTTAAAGACTGCTTTCTGCAGGTTTTGGCAAACAAGACATTAGTGTAAAATTACTTGTCAGATTGGAATTTTAAGACATTGGCCAACACTTGTAAGGTAACAGCAAAGAAAAAATCCAGCAACTGACTTGGAATATGACAGGTGCTGGTATTTCATCTGGGCACTTACGCTTCTCATGCCTTGAACACTTCTACCAGACAGCAAAAGAAAAAAATGAAGAAAGATCAGTAATTACAATTGATTGTTTTAGTCTTTTCTTTCAGTAAATTGGATATAGAATGTTCACAGTTATGTTATTGGTGTTGTACAGAGAATAATGAATTTAACTATAACAATAAGTGCTACTTAGTTGAAAGAGATCCTTTGCCAGGAGGTCCCATTCATCACTGCTTAGATATTTTGCTGTAAATTAGATGAAAACCACCAAGAGGATTGGAAGGATTATTAAGATTGATCCAAAGGATATTGAAAGTGAAAGATATTGGAAGACAATGCCTATTGATCTCTGTTGTCAAGACATAATGAAAGAAAGATAAGAATACTGGAGAGTTTTATTGCATTATTGTATTGTGAGATGGACAGCTAAAACAATTTATTTCATTTCTCTTGCCTTCATATTTCTCCCAACCCCACCCAAAGCCATATATTTAAAGTTGAGGCAGCAAGGTATTGACTTAGAAGAGGCAACCTGTTATTTCAGTTGAAATACCCCTTATTTCCAGATTTTGGTACCATACATAGAGTACCATACATAGAGTACCATACATAGAGTACCATACATAGAGTACCATACATAGAGTACCATACATAGATATAGCAGTGGTGCCCTCACTTTCAGTTGTTCCAAATTCCAATGATGACATGTTTTGAAACAATCTGAAATTAATTAAAACAGTCGCAATAATTAGCTAATGATGGTATGACAGTACTATGACTGTGTGGGGATACACTGAATATCCCCAGGGGGTTTGTAACAAGTTTTGAAAGGTCAGTTTATAAACAGTCTGAAGTTTCAGTTCTGATTTGGAAGAGCTACTATTATAAGAAAACGAGTTATAAGTACCACATATAAAATGAATGGAACAAGTCAGTGTCTCTTAATGGCATTGTTCACATTCAGTTTCAAAAATAGCCTGTGATTCATGAGTTTTCCCAGGATGGTTGTTTAATTTGGTGTGAACACACCCTGGACAAAAAGAACTGGCTGTGCATTCTAGTGTGAATGCGTCCTGGACTGGCTGTGCATTCTAGTGTGAACGCGTGCTGGACTGGCTGTGCATTCTAGTGTGAACACGTCTTGGACTGGCTGTGCATTCTAGTGTGAACACGTCTTGGACTGGCTGTGCATTCTAGTGTGAACACGTCTTGGACTGGCTGTGCATTCTAGTGTGAACACGTC